CACTCTGGGCCTGCAGTTTCCTGGATGTGGAGCGAGGCTATTGGGAACCGGCCCCTTATTGTTTTGATTCCCTCTGATAGCCATTCCTCCGAGACCTGGCGAGACAGGTTTCGTTTTTGCCACTGGTGGGAGGGGGGAGTTGGAGGTCAGGTGCCTTTACCTTTCCCCACACCTCTATTCACGCTCACTCTGATAATCACGCCCCCAGAAATCCGGGGAGAGATTTTATGCGATTTCCCCGCTGTATGTGAGAAGGGCTAAATGTCACACACCTGTTCTATCGCTGAACTTGCTGCGATCTGTCGGAAATTGGCGATGGTGACGTCAGCTCTCCAAGATGGTGGCCACTGGCTTCCTTGGTGGGTTGGTCCGTTGTGGAGGACAGATCTGGATTGTTTCTCTCCCCTGTCTCAAACCCAGAACTCAGTCTAGAGCACAGTGAGGGCACAGTTGGCAGGACCCCACAGAATCCGCAGCGCTGTTTCTCTGTGTTGCTGGCACGCCGTTTCTGGCTGCGGGGCGGGCCGCCGATCAATCAGCCTGAATCTCCGGGCGCACGGTTCACTCGCTATTGAGCCCCAGTAATTGATCCTCAGGTGATGGAAATCCTTCCTCTAGGTTTCGGTGCACCCCAATTTTGCTGGAAATTCCTAACAAGATAGCTTTTGGCCATTCTAACTCGTTATTCACCTGTGCAGTGACGCGGTACACGGGGGTGATGCACTCTATTCACTGCCATCTTCCAACAGAGCAATATTTATTTTTTAGTTATCGGCAGACACAACATCTTTTGTTTGTATGTGGTGCTGAGGATCGAACCCAGGCCGCACGCATGCCAGGCGAGCCCGCTACCGCTTGAGCCACATCCCCAGCCCTTGAGCCACATCCCCAGCCCTATCCATTTCCTTTTATATTGACCCATGTTTTTTGTTACCAATAATAATAATAATAATAATAATAATAATAATAATTGTTATTAGAGGAATAATTACTTGATGCAATTAAATTCCTAGCTTTTATCCTTTATTCGTATTACAAATTTAAGATTCCCCTAAAACAAAAGGGGAAAAAAAACTAAAAGAGAGTTTCTGAATTCAGTACATTAGCATGCCCAGGAGGATTTCTCTTTGGGTGGGATTGTTTTATATCAAGCTTAATATGAAAAAATGGGCACCAATTACTTCTTTGGGATGAAATCCACAGGCTGAAAGCTCATAGCTACTTACTTAGAAAAGACTCTTATTAAGAGCTGTTCAAACCCACAGATGGGGCCTTTGGATCACAGAGTGCTCCATTGTGATTTTCAGGTCTACTAATTAAATATCTTCTTATCCGATAGGCCAAGCTTATTTAGTCTAAGTTTAAACCTTTTTGGTGGAATGTAGATTACAGATTATCCATGTTCAAATGAAGAACTAGAACTTTTAAGTTGTGCTCTAAATGTTATATCTGAACGCCAATGTTCATTTAAGGACCAAATTAAAGGGTCTCCTGCTTGGAATTTTTGAAATCTAGACTAGATCAGGAATCATGTCTTCCCAGAATAAAACTGTTCACATGAACCTATTTAGCCCAGAGTTTTTTCACTTTTGTCAAAATGTCTCATTTCAAAATCTTCTGTACTTATGAATTTGGGGTAAAAACACATAAAAAAGGGCATAAAATACACAACAATGACAGAAGAAGGGATTTAAATGAGAACAACAAAAAAAAAATAGCTAGTTCTTATAGAGCTTAAAAAAAAGAAAGAAATGTCATAGCCTATATGTATGAAAGATACAAATAAAAAGGAGGAGGAAGAGTTATTTAAGGTATTATAATCAGGAATTATAGCCTTAGATTCATGGCAAGGAAAGATTGACACTATATGGCAGAGATGGTTTGTGGTCACAAACTATTTCCCTTGTTCCTCAGTTAAAAAAAAAAAAAAGAAAGAAAGAAAAAAATCCTGGTTTTATCTGGGCAACAATGATCCCAAACTCCCTTACAACCAAATTGACATGTGCTTACTTTCTGGTGTGGAAACGTTAAGTGGGATGAGGACCCGGGTGGGGCAGGGGCTCAGGTGAGAGGCCAGTCCTTTCCAGACTTCTCCCTTTTGGAATAAGAAATTCCAGCAGCCAATCTGGACTGTGGATTAAAAATGACACCTGCCACTAGGATGTGAAGCAAAATGACTGGATCTGAGTCCCTGCTAACTTTGGGGAACTGCCAGATTTACTCTGGACTAGCTAGTTCTCTGCTTCTTTAACATGAAAGAAGAAATTCTTGCACATTTTGTTGTTGTTGTTATATTCAGCTCTATCAAAAATTTAACTGATTCAGACTGGCAAAAAGAAAAATTATATCAATCACAGGATCATGACTTGGGCCCTTGCCACTCATGTGTGGCCCCTGAAAGAGCAGCGAAGACATTTGGGGGCTTCTTAAAAATGCTCAGGTCCCACCCCAGAGTCACTGAATGTGCAATTGAACCATTGAGAAGCACTTATATAAATTCTCTTTAAAAACTAGCCTAGGGCTGGGGATGTGGCCAAGCGGTAGCACGCTCGCCAGGCATGCTTTCGGCCCGGGTTCGATCCTTAGCACCACATACAAACAAAGATGTTGTGTCTGCTGAAAACTAAAAAATAAATATTAAAAATTCTCTCTCTCTTAAAAAAAGAAAAAAAACTAGCCTAACCATCGTTGATTGGAATGACCTGCTGAGTGGTGTTCTTATTACCTAGATTTATATCCTGAAAATGTGACACAGAAATATGATCTGATTTTGAAGTCAGAGAGTAAACATTATTTTCAAGACAAGTTTCACTAAAAGCTCAAAATGCAAAAACAAACAAGAAACAAATAAAAAGTCTATAAAAAATTTTTAAAGGGGTTGGGGTTGTGGCTCAGTAGTAGAGCGCTCACCTAGCATGTGTGAGGCCCATAAAAATAAAGTAAAAAAAAAAAAAAGGATTGTGTCCAACTACAACAAAAAATAAATACTTAAAAAGAAGTTTTTAAAAACTAACTTTGGGCTTTTTAAAAATATATTTTTAGTTATAGATGGATGCAATACCTTGACTTTATTTATTTAATGTGGTGCTGACACATGCCAGGCAAGCGTTCTACCACTGAGCCACAACCCCAGTCGTAACTTTGAGCTTTTTAAAGACATAATTCAAAATAAAGTAGGTTCTTTACACATGATGATAAGATAGCTGATGAAATCCAGAAACAATAACGACTTCAGGCCTGTCATTACACCAAAGCTTTTTTATTTTAATTTTTCAGTTACATAATAAATGTGTCTCCTTGGGAACCACTAATTCTGTGACAAGTTTGGTTATATTCTAACCACTCAGCTGAAAAGTCATTTACCTCTGTAGCAATTTAAAAAGGTAACATTATATTTTCAATATATACTTTTCAGTCTGGAAAATTTCTCCTGCACTCCCCAAAATGACTCCCAGTCAGGAAATGCAATTCTCTAAATAAACAACGTGTTTTGAATTGATTAATTTTAGACAATTTTCAAATAATTTTAGAGCTTTGTTTTTTAATTTTTAATTTTTTTGGTACTGGAGATTGAACTCAGAGGCACTTTACCACTAAGCTACATCCCCAGCCCTTTTAATTTTTTTAAACTTTGAGTCAGGATCTTGCTAAATTGCTTAAGGCCTTGCTCAGTTGTTGAGGCTGGTCTTGAATTTGTTATCTTCTGTCTCAGCCTCCCAAGTTGCTGGGATTTTAGGTATGCCACACAGTACCTGACTTAAGGCAGTTTTGGGGGGGGGAGAGGGATAGATACCAACATTGAACTCAGGGGCACTCAAACATTGAGCTGCATCCCCAGCCCTTTTTTGTATTTTATTAGAGACGGTGTCTCACTGAATTGCTTAGCACCTCCCCATTGCTGAGGATAGTTTGAACTCTCAATCCTCCTGCCTCAGCCTCCTGAACGGCAGGGTTAAGGCAGTTTTTTACATATACAAATTTCCCAGATCTTAATTGTACTACTGGATGAGTGTGACAATCACATTCATGATCACCCAATTTAGATGTAGGACATTCCCATCACCACAGAAAGTTTCAAAGAAACACTGCTCTTAAGTCTTCCCCCACCTCCATCCCCATGCAAAACAGCCATTTCTACCATGGCTTTCTTTTCCTTCTGTGGTAGGAAAATAGAACTGAGTACAACTTTGTAATTTAAAGCTGATAAAACAGCATTAAGAACCATAAAGTTCCATGCTGTCTGCAAGTGCTCTTAATATGCTTTAATCCTCTATCAAAAGTCCATCTGATGTGCAATAATAAACAATGAATAAGACTTTGAGCTTGGTTCACTTAGCAATTCAAGCACAATTACAACTTGCCAAAACATTGGATATTCTTATGTGGAGTCTTGATCTATTTTTTTTAAAGTAGGTTTAAGTATGTTTTCCTCAGATGGGAAACACTAACTTCCAGCATAATGCACTACCATTCTGACATCAAAGAGCCAGAATGTACATGATTTGCAGTTGAAAATAGAGTGTATAAAATACATATATATTTATACACACACACACACACAAACCCTCAGTAATTATTTGGGGTTGAAGATGTGTGTCAGATAAGCTAGCTGTTGTTTCTTTTGTTCTAGTATAATGTATTTAATTTAAAAATCTTGTACAAAGAGAAATTTGTGAGCACTCCCTTCACCCTATGATCAATTTACTTCATCAATTTTAGGTAGTTCATTTCCCCCAATTTTAGAGGTAGGCAATGATAACTTACATAGTTCTTCAAAGAAAATTATGTGAAAGGCACTTTTAGGTTCTGGTACATCTGTAAGATGCCAATGATATTAGTAATTTTAGTTATAAGCCTAAGTAACAAAATTCTGATATATAATATTAGGACCAAAAAGCCTGAGACCCAATGCAATGCAATCCCTAGTCATCTTTAACAAACATGTCCTTGTTCTCAAGAGTCATTTCTCTCTAATTACAATTCATGGTGTATGGGTATCCATCAGAGTTCAGGTTTGGGGTGCACTGCTGTGTATTTGGGTGCTAGTTCTTTGATTAGATTCACATAGTCGGTTTTCTCTGCACAAGCCCTGCACTCCTCACCCCAGCTGTGCAGTATCTGTTTCAGTTCTGCCACTCTCATTTTCTGCAGGTCCACAGATGCCAAGTCCAAGTTCTTTTCTAAATGCCAAAAAGGAAAAGCACAGTTAAAATACACAGCTCCCTAGAGTCCTGTAAAACACAAAGGCACATAGTGGTGAGTCCCCTGTGATCCAACATGGTAACAGTTCTGCTTTCCATGGAAACCAAGACACACCTAAGGAAAATGTAGTACATACAGGAGGCCCTCTCTATCTAGAAGTTCTGCATCTTTGGATTCACCTGAAAATGTTTGGTGATACAGGGGAGGTGGATAAATGCTTCTGTGTACTGACCACATACAACGTTTTCCCTATCATTATTCCCTAAACAATACAATATAACAACATTACATTACACTGTATGGTCTGTTATACTTTAAATCATCTCTATATTAAAATAATGAAATTAATACAATCTAGATGACTTAAAGTATGGGGGGGGGGTTATACAGTAGCAGAGCACTATCCTAGCATACATGTGGCCCTGGGCTTGATCCTCAGCACCATAATAAATAACAAAATAAAGTAAGTAAGTAAGTAAAAAGGAGATGTAAATAAGTTCTATGCAAACACTACACCATTTTATAAAAGAGAATTGAACATCTGAGGATTTTAGTGTCCACAAGGGGTCCTAGACCAGTCCCTGAGTATACCAAGGAAGAACTATACAAAGCGCCTAAAGAACTGTACAGTGCTTTATCTAATTTTCTTTCTCTCCCAGGGATTATAACAGCTCAAAACATGAGCCTATGTAGTTCTGTGAGGTTCTCAAGATCAGCATTTCTAAAACAAATAGCACTAAATCCTAATTGCTGTTCCTAAAGTATGGATGGCATTAGAGCAGATTATGCTAAGTGAAGTTAGCCAATCCCTAAAAAACAAATGCCGAATGTCTTCTCTGATATAAGGGGGGTGACTCAAAATGGGATAGGGAAGAAGAGCATGAGAAGAAGACTACCACTAAATAGGGAAGAGAGGTGGGAGGGAAAAAGAGGGAGAAGGGGAGTTGCACGGAAGATGGAAGGAGAACCTCATTATTATACAGAATATATATATGATGTTGTAATGAGAAAAAGAAAAAAAAAGTGTGTCACATTAGATTGGATAGAGAGAAATGGGAGAAGAGGGAAGGAGTAAGGAGGATAGGAAGGGTAGCAGAATAGAATTGACAATATGATTGATGTATGTACATTCCATGTATGTATTATATGTCAAAATTCATTCTGCTGTCATGTATGACTATAAATAAATAAATAAATAGTTTTTAAAAAAAGATGAAATCCATAAAGGCAGTGTCTCTTGGATGGCTTTGGTTGTAGCCAACGAAAGCAGCTAAGCAGCCAGTTATGGTTCACTTTTCTTTTTTTTATTTTTTTGTAGTTATAGATGGACATCATGCCTTTATTTTATTTGTTTATTTTCTTATGTGGTGCTAAGGATGGAACCCAGTGCCTCACAGTGTTAAGCAAGCTCTCTGCCACTTGGCTACAGACCCAGTCCACAGTTCACTTTTTATACATGACTTCAGTAAAACAGATGAGCACTATAGAGTTTTCAATAAAAATGTAAAGAAACCAAAACCTAGGGACAAAATTAGGAACATTTTCACTAATCCTTAATTATTTTGCATCTCTACTTAAACTCACCTAATGCCCCACCCTAACAGGATTAGTAAATTATCCCAGCATTCATTTGTGGTCCTTTGTGGTATACCTACTTCTCCAATGCTAGTGCTATGGTATCAGTCAACCTGGCTCCTAAAATTCTTGCCAATACTATTGTCACCAGCATCTAACTCCTCTACCAAGACTACCATCTCCCTGCTTAAAAAGAATACCTGCAGAGAACATTAAGAACTCAGCTCTCGGGGCTGGGGATGTGGCTCAAGCGGTAACGCACTCACCTGGCATGTGCGGGGCTCTGGGTTTGTTCCTCAGCACCACATAAAGATAAAATAAAGTAGTTGTGTCCACCGAAAACTAAAAACTAAATATTAAAAAAAAAAATCTCTCTCTCTCTCTCTCTCTCTCTCTCTCTCTCTCTCTCTCTCTAAAAAGAAGAACTCAGCTCTCTATTGCCATGTCCAAAAATAAGAAAAATTTAAGCTCATCTATAATAAACTCATGATTGTAATTTCCCTATCAGAAATGGGTAATTTTCCTCTTTCAAAAGGAGTCTCCTCTGCCTCTCCCCCACTGCCAAGTGTTTGCCCTGAACACGGACACAACATTCACATTTACTTATTAAGTAATTAGATCCAGCCCACGACTTTTTCAGCCTGACTTCTTTTTTAAAAATTTTTTTTTCTTTTTCTGCCTGAATAATGGAATATCACATTTTAAAACATTAAAAACCCAATAGTCATTCAGCAGTTTGTACAAAATGTCCTATAAATGAATACAAGTTTAAAAATTGGATTTTAAAGATTTTTTTTTTTTAATTTTTGGATGGTCATCTATACTCTGTGCTTCAGAGAACCCTTGAATCCTTAGAGTGATTCCTTGTGCTATTAAAAACAAAATATGCAAAGGCAAACATTTTTTTAGTTCAAAAACCAAATGACACCTTCCTTGAAAACATCCAACTCCACACTCATCTGGTTGTTAATTTGTGGCTGCTTTGACAGAATACCTTTGAAGTAGAAACTGTCATAAATAACCCAACTTATTAATATTCCACAGCACAAAGTTACCTGCTCAGTCTCTTCTTTCCTGACATGAAGAATAATTTGGTACTATTGATTAATTCAAGAGAAATAGCTGAAGGAGAAAAATACTTTCCTGAAAGTGTCAGTAGCTTCTTTGATATTTTTTCTCCAGAATTTGTCATCTTGCATTAATTTTTAAAAGGGGAAACATCTTTGTGACACCCTAAAACTACAAAGAAAAAGTCAATACCAAAGTTAAAAATAGTTCATGGCTCCCGAAGGGCCTCTAGTGGCCAGTGTTACCAAAATATTAGCAAATATTCATTTTGTCTCAATATCTGATTATTTTTTTCTGTTTTCTAAGGATCCTGTAAGATCCCATGCAAATAAGAGTATTTTGGGAAAAAAACTTGTTGAATTAAAGAATCAGCACATGGTTGTCTCTTTTGTGAATATTGTTTATGTGGACTCTGTGACTCCTGCCTCCGCTTCACTACTTTGAAGCTAATAAAGAGGGTTGCCTACCCATAATAACTACCCTGGAAGTTATGGCCTGTTTGGTAAATTGAGAAATAGTTATCTGTGGTATCTTTCAGACTTAAACCTATTTCAAGTTTGCTATGTGGCTCTGGTGCATAGGCATATTACATAGCTGTTCTGGGAAATAAGACAAATAATTGAGAGTTGGATGCTAATTACTTAGGTAGTCTATTGTTCTACATTGGGTAAGTAACATAAAACAATGACTTAAGCTGAAGAAGTGAGTCTTGATTGGTGGAATTTTAGGTGTTAAGGACAGTTGAGGGAAGAATTCTCCAGCCTTTTATTATACTTACTCAATTTACCCAAAAGGCTGGCCCAGATTCAAATCCCCAGTGTACAAATAGATCGAACTATGTGAAATTTAAAAGGCCAAGGATAATGTTTAAAATAGGGCATCTTCTTCCTTTCCTTGCTGTTTATTTTTGGGACCGCTGATAAGCTGTTTCATCATGCCAAACCTGATTTGATGTGAATAACCTATTTCCTAAAATTTAAAGCTGGTAGAATGACAGACAAGTGTAGGAAAGATAGAGTCATATGGAGAAATTAAATTATTTTATCATCTCTGAATAGGTGCAAGTTTTGTTTTATTTATTGATTTTGCAGTTCTGGAGATCAAACCCAGGGTCTTATGCATGTTAGGCAAGTGCCATACCACTGAGCCACACCCCAACCCTAGATTCAAACTTTGTCTTAATATATTACCATGAGCTAAATCACCATAAGTAGCTACTCTCTTGTATTTTGAAATTTTCCTTGACAGACATGGCTGATATTGCCTTGGTAAATTAGGAATTTAAACTTTGCTCATTGGATTGGCAGTTTCACCCTAAGACTGATTATGCCAGGACTATTTATTTCTCTTCCCTCAAAGGAGCTCAGAGGGTACAAGATACCATTTATCAGCCCAGAAACCTATCAGTGAGTGGAGAATTCCTTTGCTTCTAATTCTGACTTTTTAAAAAACATGTCCCTGTGTTTTGAGGTTTGGCAATACAATCAGACATATTGGAAAAAGCACTTGTCTTGTGATACCATATTTCAGCTCACAGATCTGGCTGTCCATTTTCTTCAGCTTCTCACATATCTTCATTGCAGGCATATGTACACTCATGGGGCGCGTGACTTCACTTAGGATTTTGGTGGCAGCATCTTTTGTGGCTCCTAGATAATAGCACTGTTGATAATGAAGAGAATTTAGCATCCTGGGCAATGAAAAAAGCAAGTAATCCATTATAGAAAGGGGAGAAAAAGGTTAACCTAGTTTTCATGGTCCAGCTATTAAATTTTAACCCCTACTAAGAAAACAAGTGACTCCACTCTCATGATCATCCTACTTAGAAGCCACCTTACTACACGCTCAATGTGGAAAGACTGGTGAGAAAAGCTCACACTTACTAAGTGTTTTCTTTGTACAAGGGCTGCATTAACTTATTTACCTTTCATAACAATCCTGTGAAGCAAGAACTATTATTATCCCCACATTTTACCCAAAAAATCCAAGGCTGCACAGCCAGCAAGTAGAAGAGTCAGAATTATAAAATCCAGCACCCTGGCTGTCATCATGCAATACTTCCTTTCAAGCTACCTGACTTAAGAATTTTATGTGCAGAGCTAAGAATGTAGCTCAGAGGCCTAGCATACACAAGGCCTTGGGTTCGATCCCCAGTATTGCAGGAAGAAAAAAGGAAAAAGAAAAATTTACATATAAAAATATAAAACTTACTGGCACAAATAAATGACAAAAATTTCATGATGTATTGGTAGTTAAGTGGTCAAAAATGCAGACTAAACTGACAAATTCAACATGAACATTTTAGGGAAGAATAAATTGGTAAAAAATTGTCCTTAGTTATGTAGAACACTATATTGAAATAAGCTATATGTGTAAACCCAGGAAACACCATCTAAATGCCATAACAAGAAAATATAAACACTTCATTAATTATGTATTGATAATAGTATAAAATGTTTTGATAGGTTTGAGTAGTTGTCTTGGTAAGAAATGGAAAGTCTACCCACTCTTAACTCAGGACAGTAAGTTCTTATTAGGAATTCATTCTTACAATTTCATTTAAGAAAATATACAATTGTTAGCCCATTGTTTACTCAGAAAGACAAATAAAATAATATATTCTGGATGAAAATACATAGATAATTTTTTTAGAAGACTGATTTCCTCTTGCTGTCCACAAGGAATGTGCTTCAAGTAGAACATCAAGTCCAGGTGAGCAATGAAACTAGTTACAACTTTCTTTAAGCACATGGGAAAAATTAAAGGTGAAAATTTAACATACCAGGCGGTTTTCTTTTCCTTTGGTATCCAAGCAAAAGCTGATTAATTCGTTTTCTATAGTGTCCAGTGAAAAATGAACTCCTTTGGCTATCAAGTAGTTATAGAATCGGTTCAAGAATTCTTTACACACTAGAAGGAATGAAGAAATATGTTTGTATGCGTGACTTACCACAACCACTCCCAGTAAGTACCTGACCCACTCATCAAATAAAAAATAGGTATGGTTCATTGCCTTGTGACGATGTTCTAAGTTCTAAGAATGATTTGGGGCCTATTATAAAGTTTAATTGCAGTGGATACATGAGCTGAGTGAATTAATTTATCAACCAATCTTTGAAATCAAGTTCCACCTAAAATGAGAACAATTTTTTATAAACTTTGACTAATCCTAAAATAAAACAGTTTTACATAGAATATGATCTTCTGATAGTTTAGTTTTAAGTGCAGAGAAAATCCTCTGAAGGCTACTGAATGAAGCCCCTTGGTAGTCGGCATAAATCTGTATATTCCACCAACAGGGGCTAAAGTCAAAACCCAATTGAACAGTCATATTCAGTCTCAGTTGTCTAAAGCCAGTGGAAGAGATAGAGTTCAGGAGGGGAGCTGACATTAACAACCAACACAGTTAATATCTGGCAGGTGCTGGCAGGTTCTGGCAGGTGCTGGTAGGTACCAGCCCTATTCTAAGCATTGCATTTTAGCCCATTCAAGCGTCACAACAAAGTTATGATGTAGATATGTTATTATCCTCTTTTTACAGATAAAAGAAACTGAGTCCAAGAGAGGTTACCTAACTTGCCCAGTAAGGGAGGAGAGGGCATTAGATCCCAGGTGGTCTGACTCAGGGTATACATGCTTACTCATCAGGTTAACCCACTGTGGGAGGAAGTTGCTTTCCCAAGTGAGCAGACATCTGGGCCAAGCAAGCTAGGAATGAAACAGAAGCCAGAAGCTCGTCCTGGTAAGTGGTGGTCCTGATATTAGAGAATTCTAGGGGAACAAATTAAGGGAAAATGGAGGGCTTTAGTTCTCTCTCTCTCTCTTTTTTCTTTGGCGAGGGGAGTACCAGGAATTGAACTCAGAGTCACTCAGCCACTAAGCCACATCCCCAGCCCTATTTTGTATTTTATTTATTCTTCTTGAATCCCTGTACTGAGACCTGTATCTACCTAATAAACAAGGAAGAATCTATCATTCTAAAATTACACACTAGATACCTCAAGTAGTTTAATTTTGTTTAAAGAAAGCTGTTTGATTAAATTCATTTATTCACTTAAACAGTATTGAGTTCAAGTGCTGAGGGAAAGCTAGTAAAGGATGAACTTCAGGAAGGAGATAGAATCCAACAAGGAAGATCAAGTTGTAGTATAGTGTTGTAATGATAAGAGAAAATGGCAAATGTGTGAAGATGTAAATAAGGATTAAGTATATAAAACAAAAATAATAAACCTATAATAATGAAAACATAAAGCAAAACCAAATACAGTATAATCATAAAACATAAGATGAGAAATGAAGAATTCAATTTAAACTTCCTAAGGAGTTTTATTATCTAGGAGTATAGAGAAATATTACCAAATCATATTCATTTTTAGCCATCTAAGTATGATAAAAGTGGAAAGGACTTAAAAATTTTTTTTAAACTTTATCAGTTTATTAGAGGCAGGAAAGAGCAAAACAGAAGCAAAGAAAAAGCACAATACATTTTAAAAACTCACAAAATTAAAGAAATAAATCCAAAAGTATCATTAATTACAATATGTGTAAATATGCTAAACTTGCAGTTATAGAACAGGGTTTTTCAGGTTGAAATTTTTAAAATTCAACTAAATGCTGTTGAATTTTCAATCACAGAAAGACAAAATTCATATGATTCCACTTATCTTAGACACCTAGAGAAGTCAAATGAATGGAAACAGGAAGTAGAATGAATGGTGGCTGTCAGGGGTGGGGATGGGGGTGTAGAATTTCAATCTTTACAAATGAAAAGAGTTAGGGTGCTGGATGGTAATGATGTTTGCCCAACAGTATGAAAGTACTTAATACCACTAAACTGGGGATTTAAAAATAAGGAAGTAAATTTTATATTTCACAACAATAAAAATGTGTTTTTTTTTTGTTTTTGTTTTTTTTTTAAGTATAAGGCTACAAAAAGGGTCAAAACAACAACACAATAAAAGTAAGTGAAGAACCAGAGACAGTGGCACAGGCCTGTAATTCCAGTGACTAGAAAGCCTGAGGCAAGAGGATTGCAAGTTCAAAGCCAGCCTTGGCAATTTAGCAAGGCCCTAAGCAACTCAGTAAGACCCTGTCTCTCAATAAAATATAAAAATGGATGGGGATGTCGCTCAGTGGTTAAGAGCCCCTGGGTTATATCCCCACTACCGATAAATAAATAAATAATAAAGATGGAGTCTTTCTTAAAAAAAATAAAATAAAATAAGAGCTTTAAAAATAAAAGGTTATACCAGACAAATTCTAACCCCAAACTATATAAAGCTTTATTAGGCACAATAAAAAGGATTTTTGAAGTAGAACATAGACAATAGCATGGCTTGACAATGTGGAAAATCCTGGCAGAATTGTAAGAACAAATCAGAGGCGTCATAGCCATGGTGGATGGTTGAGCAGCCTCAACTGATCAAATGAACCAAAAAGCAGTCAGAGCCCATTATGTACGGATACACACATTTGTAGTAAAAGTCCTAAAAAAAAAAAATGAATAGGAAAGTTAAGGGGGAAAAAAATGGAGTTATTTGCAACTAATAGTTTATTTTTTAATCAATTTATTTAATTCAGAGAAAGAATGGTAGCAAATATTAAAATACTAATATTTAATCTAGATGCTAGTATAATTGTGTAAAATTTTTCAGTGTGTTTGGAATAATTCCTAGTTTATTTTGAAAACTCACCATAACTTTGATTACTGCAAAAATCCCCAACATGCTTACAATATTAATAAAAACTTGAATTGAAAGTTTTAAAGTGAAATCACAGTTCAGTCTGTTAATTGTTAGCCAGAGCCCAAAAGGAGAAAGCAGTATTTGAAAATATAATAATGCCACCTGCAGGAAAAGAGCTACAATTTTGTCCAAAAGTTATGACAAAATGCTTAAAATCAGTTTCATAGAATCATTACAACTATCAGTGGGCTATTCATTATTTTCATCAGTTCCATCCTTAACTTTTAGAACTAAAGCCAGATCCCCATTATTGACTCCAGCTTGATTTGGAGGAGGACAAAATACCAGATTAGTCTTGGTGGTACCAGGACTAAGGGGGCATTGCATCCTAAAAATAGGATACATATTATAATAATGAGTTAAGGTTTTTCAAGAACATTCAGAACTTGAATGATTTGGATACTGCTTCTTTGTTCCAATTTTATTTGTAATGCTTTCCTAAATAAATGAGCCCGATACTGCACTCAGAATGCAATATGTTATTGATTGAGTACCTGAACTTCAAAACCTAGCTCTACTACTTTATAACTCTGTGACTCTGACTTTTCGTTATTGAACGTAGCTCAGTGGTAGAGTGTTTGCCTAATATGTACAAGGCCTTTGATGCTCCCCAGCAACAAAAAGGAAGAGAGAGAGAGAGACTGAAAGAAAAAATTACAAAAAACTCATGTATCAATCTACTAGCCATCTGTTTTGAGATAGGTTGGCTCTCAAGGAGAGAGAAGAGACCCTTTCTAGGTGGAGTCTTGGCTCTATAAGCATGATCAGCTATGCCTGTCTCATTAGTTAGATGAATAAAACCTCCAGTGTATGCTTGTATCAGATTAACTAGAACAAAAGCATAATAAATTTAAATGTCACCAGATTCAAAGCCCTATACAATGCACCCATATCTGATTTATGGATAGAATGCTTAACAAAGAAACATTGTGAACCCCAAATATCAAATATTTGATTTTTATGAAAGCTTTCTTAGAAATCTACATTTTTCTTCCTAGGAAAATCCTATATATATTCAGAAAGTTCAACCCGGGGTGCATTGCTTGTCTCTTCTCTGAGAGGTGAGTGGAATCCACAACCTGCCTTTAGGGTGTGCATATTTTTTCTTTGCTGTCTAAAAATTTTTTGCTTGTGCTTTGCTTTCTATGCATTCCAAAATTGATTTCAGAGCTAAGTCAAGAATCTTTCTGTACAGAGTGAGTCCCACTCACTTGGAGGTAGGACCACTTTGAAGGTAGTCAGTCTTTTTCCTCTAGCTGTTTTAAAGATTTTTCTTTTCTTTTGTGTTGTACAATTTCCTTTTGATGTGATTAGATGTGGAATTATTTTATTTATACTGTTTGAATATATTCAACTTCCATCTCCTCTATTGTGTCTTCTAAAAAGCCAGTTAACATGTTAGAAATTTTCTCTTTATTTTATTGTACTTTTATCCCTATTTCCTATTTTTATCTTTTCACCTCTCAGTGATTCAGTCTTGATAATATATTTAGATCTAATAATAATTCACTAATTCTCTAATTCACTAATTCTCTCACATGTAATAAATCTGCTGTTAAATCATATCAATTTTATTTATAGAGGTCTATTTGGTTTTCCTCCAAAATTATTGGATGTTTTTAGCACCTCCTGCCCTTTATTGATATTTCAATCTCTTTATTTCTTTAAACATAAAAATCTAATCTTATCTTCCATACCTGATAATTACCATATCTAAAAACTTCTCAAGTATGCTCTTCTGTCTCTTGTCTCAGCGGCTATCACTTGTGCTGCCCTTCTCCCTGCAGGAGACTTCAGTGAGAGCCTGATGCTGGGAAAAGCCAATCACAGATCCCGTGAGCACAGGATCATGAAGGCAAACCCCTAGTACTCCACAGTGTGCTGCGTTGCTCAACTATGTTTGGTGGGTAAGGTGTATTAAATACATTTTTGAGTTAATGACAGTATCAACTCATAATGGTCTTATTTGGAATGTAATCCCATTGTAAGTTAAGGAGTGCTCTACCCACATATACATATTTTCTATTGATCCTATTTCTCTGGAGAACCCTAATACAACATCCAACTGCAAACAGTGAAAAAGCAACTGGATATACAGTCATCCATCACTTAATGATAGGAATACATTCTGAGAAATTAGTTCTTCAGTGATTTCATTGTTGTGGG